ATAAGCAACCTGGAGAGCCGTGGTAGCTCAGATGGTTAGCGCTCGCTGTAAGTTTCACAGTACGCGAGAAACCCGGGTTCGATCACCGCCGGCACCAATGAAATTGTTAATTGCAATTTTAAGTGCTGATTTACAACGTACTCGGCGGTGAAGGAAAACATCGTGAGGAAACCTGCATGTCTGACAAATAAGAAAAAAGATATGTTTAGTTCACCAACACGCATTGGGGCAGCGCGGCGAACCTTTCCTTGCCCTAAAACCCTCTCAGAAATGAGAGGAGGCCTGTGCCCAGCAGTGGAACGTATAAAGGCTGTAACTTTACTTTTTATAAACAACCTTATTGCAATTATCGTAATTTTGTTGACTACGTATACTCGTAAAAACCACGTAAAATGCGTCAAATTTTATTCTTTTTTTTATAGGATAAGCGTGTCAAACGAGAACACAGTCCACCTGATGGTAAGTGGTTGGCTTATAGACATCTACATCTACTCTCGATGACAAATCAAAATTCAGATGCGTTTTCACTCGTGAGGACTAAGATAGAATGCCTTGTTTTCAGTAAAAAGAGTCTCCGGTTCTCTATACTCACCATACGAAACACAGCAGCGTTAAACTGCTATTCTACGCTGGTATTCTGTGAGAGCCTGGTCCTTCCCCGGTCGAGCCGACCCATTCGTGCTACAACTATACCAGTAATATATAACAGAATTATACATAAATACGAAACGCATAGAAAAGATCTTTATACACTACATTTTTATTTTTTGAGTATATGACCCTGTGTTCTAGCTTACCTTTGATCTCATAAGCATCTTACCTTATAGTGCACGGATAGGTTTGGATGAGTGAGCGCAACTATTGGGAAGTTTTCGTGTTACTGAGATTGGCCAGAAGAACATCGCACTTATATTTATAACTTACACTACTTGATTCAATAACACCTCGAATTACAGCGATATTATCAAATGAAGTGCAGACAAGTCAACTCATGACTTGACCGATGTAAGTGACCCTAATCCGCAGTAAATCTTCGCTCCTGCTTACCCCGACCCGAGAGTTGTCGACCGGCCCGCTGGAGGGTTAAACAAGCACACACGATTCTACAACCATTTATTACCCCACTTGTTTTATAACTGAACAAGGGTTCACACTAATATTTTTAAGGTCCTTAGGAGACCCTTTTGGAAAATGATAAAGAAAATATTGATACGAATAAAATGATAATCTTTTGGAGTGTGTACATATAATACAATTGAAAAAAATTAACTTCTTGTTCTTAAGTTGGTGTTAAGACATAGTGTATAAGTGTTTTGAGTTGTTTGGTATAAAAGAATCTAAGCGCTGACTTCTGAATGTGAAATAATTTTATTCTTTTTAGGTATTTGATGGTAACTATTACTTTTTTAACGTTATTTTTTTACCCTTTTGAGTAGACTATGGAATATCAAAATTTCTATGTCGTCTAAATATAGTTACTTTAAAAACTTCATCCCTCAATTTTGCCACCCTTAGGTGTAGCTTTTTTTCCAAATTTATGTGGGACTACTCCTGAAGTAATAAAAAACCCATTTAATAAAAAACTAATCATCAAAATCGGTTCACAATGATGAAAATATCGCGTAGCCTATAAAGAAACTTACACTCGAGTTGAGAACTTCCTCCCTTTTCATTCATTACAATTTTTTTTTAAAGTTTAATTTGGTTCATATAAACACGTAATATAATAAATTGTAAACGTGAAAGTGAACATAGTATTATTAAATAAATACAAATATATATGTAAATAATATATTTTTAACTACTCACGAATTTATTTATTTATAATATATATGATTTCATGTTGTTTTTAAGTATTGTTATATAGTTTCTGCTAAATTTTTGTATATTATTTTAATAAACAATTATTATTGAAGAAAAATTGGCATAAAAATGTCACATTGTAGGTATCATACGAGTACTTATATACTACTAGCTGGCCAGGCAGACGTTGTTCTGCCCTTTCCGACGCTCCTTCCTATAAAAAATTCCTTAAATTCGAAATAAAAAATATTAAAGGTCACTTATCGGAATAAAAAGTATCCTATCTCTCAAGTTGGACCAAACTGCACACAGTGTGCAAAATTTCATTGAAATCAGTTCAATAGTTTAGGAGTTCATCGCGGACAAACAATGTGACACGTAATTTTTATATATAAAGATTATCTATTATACATTACACTCTCGCAATTAAAAATAAATCGTATAACCAAAGATTACAGTTCAATTTTGTTTTATTATATACTCACAGTGTTAGTATACAGGAATGGTAAAAGTTTAATCGTTTCTTTTTTTTTAATACTACGTTTAATTAAAATTTTAAAGATAAAACATTCAGATCACAGTACTTTAAGCGTGATAAATTATTAGGTTTTACGTTGTACATTAAATATGATACAATAAAAAATGCGCACTGAAAAAGCCCACACTTGCTGTGTTCTTTAAAGGGTGAAAGAACCAGTATAAAAACAGGCTGTGAGGCTTTTCACATTAGTCCTCGCGGTGTCAAGTAGAGCAACCAAGCCACCTTTGCGCATCATGATCGGCAGCAGCCGTCCACAAAAAGATAAATTGAACAAATAAATAAAAACAAAATAAAAACATATCCAACATAAAAAGTAATTTTATCCTTTTTGTATTCTATCCACAAATACTTTTAAAGTTTCATTTTCTTTCAAACTGTCTTTACAACCCTAACAAAGGACAGTGTTGTTCAGTGATACGTAAAGATGCCATATCGAGATAATGCGAACATTATACGCGGTACCTCTTAAGCTCGCATAATCGCCTTTATTACGACACGCCAAGGCAAAAACATGAAGCTAACTTGCATCGTCCTAATTTTCATCATAGTCGGTACAGTCCAGCGAAAATATCTCAATTTCTTTGGCTTTGGCTAAACTAACAAATTATGTAAACACTTACCACCTGGTAGGATTGTACCTGTCAAGGACTGGCTTATAATAAGTAAAAAAAAACTTGTAGGTGCCAACTATCCAAGTTTTAAATTAGAACAATGCAAGTTCACTATAGAAAAATTAATACTATGAGGGCGGTATTCAGAGACAACCTCTAGTTTGTATTCAAACGCCACAATGTCAGTTTGTGGAGTATAGTACGGATAAGACTCAAATTTTGACTTCAAATTTTGTCGAGTTTAAGTTACCTCTGTATATCGCCCTGAGTCTCTCTTCAGTAATATGATAACCTAATATTCGATTTCGATCATTACTATAGTTTCCGAATATTTTTGAAAGCTGAGCAGGTCACGTAAGTTATTAGACTCATCTCAGCTACCTCCACAATGCGTATGCCATAACACTTCAGGTAGGCTAGTGGGTGACATCAGTGAAACAGAAGCTATAACAACAAATCCAGACTCAAAAACAAACAATTTGTGTATTTGCACAAACGTTACCTGTTATTATTTACATTATGGGTGTTTTTAGGACAAGAGTAAATAGGCTTTTGTTGAGCTAAAAAAGTACGATTTATTCGGAGCTTCAGTACCACTTACCACCAGGTGGGATTGTAATCATGGACTGGCTTATTTATGTAAAAAAAAAATCCAGGACCCATGCTGTACCTAACAAGATACTCTAACGACAAGGTCACGTGGTTTGTTAAGTGCACTATAAGCACCTATACCTTGAGCTATGATAAGGTAAAGCTAGTCAAGATGTACCAAAGTACGTTTTGTAATGCCTATAGATATTATTCACCCTATTGAATTTGATTATCTAATAAATGAATTAACCAACAAATTCCAATTATACCATGATTTCAAACTATAAAAGGGCGCAATATTATCATGTCTTGCACTGAAAACCTTATATCACTTTTGTTATCAACTATACCACTTCAGTTTGTTAGTCAAGTAGCTGACCAAGGGCTATCAAGTTTAGACTCCAGTTAACTGATGATAATTTAACGCAGTTACCTACGCACGGAACGTCAATAGTTACTGAACTATACATTTACTTATATATGTTTAAATCTACGGAATTATATTTAAACAATAGCATAAATATGTAGAAATATTAAAAGATTATTTTAAGAGTCATCAAACAAACAATACACAATATTAGTACTTTTGTTTCTCATTTTAAGTGATCTTTTTATTTTTCTATATTAAAACATTTTAACGTATCATCGAAAATAATTTTAAACACATCTTTTTACATGAACTTTATTAAATTTTAACAATTAAGCTTTAGTAGCATCTTATCAGCCATCTGCGATTTCCTAATTCTAACACTTATATCGATATAACCTCGTACCTAAGAAGGGCGGACAGGAGTAGTCACGCGGAGCCGAGAGCCACTTTAAGTTTGATTGACAGCAACCCCTGGCCAATAGCGAATACGAAACTGACGAGTTACGTTAATCAACTGCCGCCACCACCACCAACCCCAACACGTTATTTTCAAAAACGGATCAAAGAATTTTGTCTCGTATTGCGTCTCGATAAGACACACGCCGACTACACTAATTATGCCAATACACACGAATTACATGTTCTCGTCACGCGAACGTTGTCCCCCCATAATTCGCCGCCCTTTTGTAATTTGAATTTCGAATTCCAATTCTTATTTGTAGTAAAATAAAAAGTACCGTTTCGACACAATGGCGTCAAGGGCGGTGCTCTGACATGCGATCAAGTTATTACATTAAAGGAAAGCGCACCCGCGAGCACTAAGCTCACTGCCCTGTGTTATTTAAAGTTTCCAGGAATGGTCTCGAACATAAATAATATAAAAGTATAGAATTTAATATTAACTGCAACATTAATATTAAATTCTATACTACGTAAAGACAATTAATTTAAGCAGTTATTATTTTTCATTCATATTTTACAATAATTAATCGCGTAATTATAAACCTTCGAATTTAAGAAACAACCTTCAGCAACTTTTTACGTATTTTAATAAAATTCATTAACAAAAAAATCTTTGTTCCAGAAAATGGTCTGCCACGAAGGCTGCGAACGGCATACACTAACACGCAACTGTTAGAATTAGAAAAGGAATTCCATTTCAATAAGTACCTTTGTCGACCGAGGCGAATCGAGATAGCTGCCTCACTTGATCTTACTGAGAGACAGGTAAATAATATTCTATTAACAAATTACGTTATGGATTAGATAAATCCATCAATTTGGTTAAAAAATTTATACTTTCTTCCTGAATGAACTTTTGACGTTAATCATCTTACTCAGCTAAATCGTCCATAAGATGTGAAAAGGTAAATAAGTACTTCTTCCTCATCCCATAAATACCCACTGCTAGACATGGCCAACTCCCGTTATCACCACAATTGGAAGGCGGGTTAGCGAACGCAATACCAAACGTCTCGCTGCATTCACGCTAACGATCAACGATCTGGCAATTTTAAATTTGGTGTAAACGGGATAGCAATAGCGTCATCTGTCGGAAGTTATAAGCGTTTTCGGTCATTTACTATAGTCGCATCCTACGACACCCATGGAATGACATCAGGTAATGAATTCTTATATTATGCCGCTACCACACGAGTGGTGTCGAACCGAGTGTGCCGTCGAATGTGTACAGATAGTCCTATAACATGTACATTTTCCACATACCTATTTTATATAATAGCAAATATCGTAATTCGTCATTAAATGAATACTCGTTGCACAAACTGATCAAAGAAATTATACAATTCTATTTCTGGCCTTCAATTAGACACTAGCATACATATTATATTATTATATAAGGGTCATTTGCGTTATTTTTTATTAACTTAGAACTATTTTGTTTCAGGTAAAGGTGTGGTTTCAAAACAGACGTATGAAGCATAAACGACAAACTCTAAGTAAAAGCGAAGACGGAGATGACAAGGATTCGACAACCTCAGAAGGCGGAAAGAGTTCAAAAGCGCGAGATAAGTTCCTTGACGACGACGGGCCGCTTTCAGGCAAAAAGAGCTGTCAGGGCTGTGAATTACCGCCTGGTGCTTTGTGTTCGCCAGCTGAAGATTTACCAGAACTTACATCACGCACAAGGAACAATAACACGCCGAGCGCAACAAACAATAATAGTTTTGCTAGTGACGGCGCTTCAAGTGTGGCTTCCTCGTCCTCTCTCGATAAGTTAGCCGAAGACGACTCAAGGGATGCGCATCCTGTTTCAACAATCACTACTGCACCGCGAATTCTAGCAAAAAAGATTAAACAGGAGTCAAGAAAGCGTTCACCTTCGTTAGATGCAACGGGCTGCAAAGTTTCACCTTCTTCTTCAAAAGATGGTCTAATAGCAGTTGCAGGAGTACCCGACACGGGCAAATTTTCTTCTGTCAATTTAACACCGTCTTCTACACCTGGTACACCTTCAAGCATGCACCAAAGCCCACTTGGACATTATCCACGCCCATCACCACCGAACGTACCTTCAGGAGCTCCTCATCCACAAACAGTACCTAATGCGATGCCTCCATACGTCATTCGAGGCAATGTACCACCCGGTCAGTTTGGACCTCACGCAGACTTCCGAATGGATACAAAACAGTTCGTTGGGAAATTAGCTCAATACCCACAGGGCAACAGAACTTACGACGGATATGGGCCTGCTCTGCAAGGTGTCGAACAACATAGTTACACTCGCAATCAACAGCATACTAGGCCTAATGAAGGTTCACCTTCAACTAGATCAACTAATGGTGTCGGTAGACAAGCATATCCCCATGAAATGTATCAAAACTATAGTTACACCGCTTACGGAAAGGAGCAAATAGCCTACGGTCATCCAGGATACGAGCAACAGGGTTATCCTGGGGAACATATGGCATATTCTAACAGCCATTACGGCTATCATTATCATGAGAGTACACAACACGAACATGCTCATGCGTACTATGGAGGGGAAGGTCAGAAGAATACACCTGGAAACGAATATGGTCGATGGAACGACACGAGTAATTATAACCAGCAGGCCGCGGTTACTCCAGCCGGATATGGACCTGGAGGCGCTCAACCACCAGCTCCGAACGAGGCCTATGGAAGCAGTGGAGAATGCGCTGATGGTTATGGATCCTTCCAACAATTTTACGAAGCAACGCACGGGACTCCAGCAGCCGGGGAAAATTCCAACTCTTCCTCAGACTTCCACTTTTTGAGCAACCTCGCTAACGACTTCGCACCTGAATATTACACTATTTGAGACAAGGACTTCGCCGAACAGGCGAGCGATCTGTTTGTATAAAGCTTCGATATACGTAATATCACACGCGGCTTATTAATAAAGGTAATGGTTTCGGGTACGAACACAGTAACGCCAAAGGCGTGACAACTTTGTTGATCATATTTTAATTACTTTATCTTTATACCAGTCTACTTAAATCTACAATTACATTTTAATATATTGTAAGTAATGTTGTAATAAAATGTACATACATGATATGGAATTTTAGCATTTACTTAACTAGAGAGTTACGTATAAATATTTTTACTGATACGTACTTGAATTAACATTAAGGTGCTGTTATCGATGAGACACCCAAACGTAATTACAAACTGGTTAATATAATTATTGTAAATATAAAGAAAGTGCAGTTTATTATCATTTAACATTATTTATGTAATAAGACGCATTACACTCGGTAATGGCATCAAAAGCTTGATATTACAGCTAAGTATTGTCTACTGTTGTACGTATCCACAAATAAAACGATACTCATATTGTAAATTTCTTAATAACTTCTATTTAAAATGAAAATTTGTGTATCTCACAGCCTCTCAAGTGTTCAAGTTAAAAACAAATTATGTAAAATTGAAAATTTAATTTAAAAACTTATGTACACATACGTATATATAAAATTGTTTACAAAATTAAGAGATAGTCGTTGCCTTATTTAGTTAATATTGTTTTGTGACTATAAGACATGTTGTAGATACTTATAGTAAGATAGATTAATAAGCGACTATTAGATACAAGTCTAACACTATTATTTTGGCCTATTAAAAATAAAGAATTTGGTGTCGCATACACTCTTTATTTTAAGCTTTCTGCGAGATCTTTGAAACATTTATGTGAATAACTTCATATAAATGACTCATCATGCTACTTTTGTTGTATTATTGCTATCTCTGTGACAACAATTAAGTCTTGAGAGAGACTTAATCATTGTTATACAATTTCCGAAAAAATAAAAGAATTTAAAAAACAAAATAATGATGGAGGAAAACCAGTAAAATTTTGGTTCTAATCGAGCACCGTAAAGAGACATTGTTCCAACTGACATGATAATCTCTTGGATTACATACTTTCTACATTTCCCTCAGCCCTTGAACAGTCCATCCTTATACATATTAGGTATAGTATACAACATTTTAGGCAGGACAATATCAGGCATTACGATACATCTCACACCTTTGACACTTCTCGCCGTATAGTATGAATGGTTATCGCTATGGTTATGGTTACATCATAATATATGGGATGGTTATTAACGCCATCTATCATGATTATTTATATTTAGGCGAACACTACACATTTGAATAAAACTAGTTTTACGGAATTTATGACGTATATAACTTATTGCATGCCTTAAACGCGAAGTGCGCAGGTATGTTCTGCTAGGGCCTAAAAATTAAGGTGCCAACGTTTTGTCGCATGAAATCGTATCTAGCAATCATATTTTACATATAAATAGCACATTGTCAGAAAGATAAATGATTGTTGAACTTATTAATATTATTTTAAAACGATTACTTGCTACTTTTACGTAAAAGAAGGGGTTCTAGTTTCTTATGGTGTGGATTTATCAAGTCCGCATGGCGGCGTAAACACGATAACTTTTGAAAATATCAATTGTTCAACTCAATCTATTTTTAAAACTCTTCATCTATAATGTGGGAAGCCATGGAATGTAAATGGCAGTTTAATTTTGTTTTGTTTAGTTATAATTAATTTTTTTTTCGGTGGTTTTAGCAGCCTTGTATTAATTTATTTTACTAAATAGGCCGAAGCCGCACTCCGAGCCACAGCCACAGAGTACTTTATTTACTCCGGCCTCAAATGCCGTCGTGAGTGGTCGTTTATTACAGCGGCTCGTGCTGAAAAATATCGATCGCCGTAGAAATACAAAATATTCCAAAAACCAAATTTGATACTTACTTGACCAAGGTAAGATATTATTATTATTTTTATAATCACAGATTTGTATTACAATGTTTGGTTTCGCTAAAAGCAGGATTTATAAATAAATATACTTATACGTCTTGGACTTTATAGACCTGAAGGTGTGTCGGTATCTGCTACTGGAATCCTCGACGAGGAAAACTAGATGTGCCGAGTTTGGCCTCGTTTTATTATTTATGATGAGAACTTACCTCCGGACTTGGTAGCGTGACTTGAAAGTGTACGTTGAAGACTGCCACTGGAACTCATCGACGAGGGGAACTAGATGTGCCGAGTTTGGGCTTGATTTGTTAGTTATGAATAGACCTTACCTCCGGACTTGACGGAGTGACTTGAAAGTGTACGAGTTTGTTATTTTTTGTGTTATTTTACTAAATACACTTTGCCTTCCTCACTCCGGGCCATAGATAATATACTGTATAGTAAAGATGATTAATATATATTTTAACTGTTAAAATAGATAGTTAAAAAAATTAACAAATTTGTTAAGTAAATAAAATTAACCATATTGAATAAAATTATCATATTCCAGTCCATTCAAAACAATCCACGACGTTACAGATTTATATTAGCTGTATTTATGCCATCTAGCGTCTTCCTTACCTACCACCGTGAGAGCCGATCAATTTTCGTTCGGTAAAATGACTTTACCAATTAAATGGAATAGATGGCGGCTTACAAAGCCATTTTATTCGAAAGAAAACATTCTTTAAAAACATCAATACATGTATTCTTTTGATTTATTACATTAACATTTAGGCTTCACATGTCTGAAAAATGAGGATTGTAACAAATATTTGCTATAAAATCAAACTTATATCCAATATCTTATGCTCAAATTGTGGTTGAAAATTATCATATTAAATAAATTATTTGCCATTAAATCTTTTGAAGTGTTATTTTTATTAAACTGTACGAAATGATATTTTTAACACACATAGATGTAATAATTGACTGAATTCATTAGTGGCTAATATCAATTTTATGTCTTTTGTTGTTACGCTATTGGCTGAAATATTACGAGTAATTTAAACCAAGCGCGTCAGTTTAATATTATTTAAAATTGAAGTTTGACATAAAATTATTGGAAAATTGGAAGTATAATAATAAGGTTATTAGTAAAAACTTGTGTGCGCTTAGGGCATGCACAATTGGATTTACCAATAGTTTTTTATATTCCCGACGTTTCGAGCACTTTACAGCACCTATAGTTTTTTTTTTATAGGAGAGGGGGTAAACGAGGATGCGGCTCACCTGATGGTAAGTGACTACCGCCGCCCACGAACAACTGCAACACCAGGGGAACCAGGGGAATTGCAGATACGTTGCCAGCCTTTTCTTGAAGGTCCCTAAGTCGTATCGGTCGGGAAAAATCGCTGATGGTAATCGATTCCACAAGGAAGTTGTGCGAGGAAGAAAACATCTTCTAAATCGCACAGTGGTGGACCGCCAATCATCCAGATGGTGTGGATGGTATCGGGAGTTCTGCCGCGATGTGCGTTCGTGAAATTTGGCGGCTGGGATTAATCCTAACAATTCCTCAGTGCACTCCCCGTGGTAAATGCGAAAGACAATGCAAAGGGAAGCAATATCTCTTCGCAGTGCCAATGAATCAAGCCGATCGGAAAGGACTCGGTCGTCGACGATTCGAGCCGCTCTGCGCTGGATGCGGTCAAGTGGAAGGAGCTGGCACTGGGGAGCCCCTGCCCAGAGATGGGAACAGTATTCCATGTGAGGCCGAACCTGCGCCTTGTAAAGTTGCAGGCGGTGTTGCCGGCATGAAATACTGTCCCGCTCTGGTGAGCACGCCAAGCTTTTTAGAGGCCAATTTGGCCTTCTCTTCCAAGTGAGCACAAAACTGCACGTCACTCGATATGTCGACTCCGAGGATTCTGATACTGGTTGAGATTTCCGGTACAACTTGATACGACAAACTGGGGAGGACTGAGGTGTTAGATGTCCCAATGTCATAGTTAACCAAGGCTACATCCAGATTAAAATTATTAATTTTTGTTCCGATCTACGCAGTATGAACTTAAATACTGTAAGTTCATACTGCGTTGCAACTTGAAGTCTTGCAGTTGTATGCTTGGGTTGGGATTTAATTTTATTATTTATAGGATCCCGAGCAGATCACTATCACTCAGCCATCTTCTCAATTGAAATTAGGATGTTTTTGAATTTCAATAGCCTCGCGAATGATCCTTGGAAGGAATCGGTGTTCTTTAGCGAGGATTTGTGGTCTATCAAATCTAATGTAGTGATGGGGGCGATCCTGTACGTGTTCACGGACTGCAGACTTCCCGTAGCATCGATTCTTCACATCAACTAAGTGAACACATAGTTGATGCGGGTTTATCGATCTTTTAGTTTGTCCTATATAAGAGAGACCACATTCACAATAAAGCTTGTACACTCCTGCATCTTGCAGAGGGACATTACACTTGACTGATGGTAAAAACTAACTAATCTTCTTCGGCGGCTCGAAGTATGTTTTAATGGAAGCACGCTTACATTAATCACATATCGACATCGATTGTTCATACTTAAAATTAAATTGTCAAAGTCTTGCTGTGGTATGAGGTCCAATGTTCCTTGCAAGTTTTCGTAAAGTTGTTGTTCCGATCCAAACGAGCTGGGTTCGTCCGCCAAGACGAATTCCTACTCACACCATGATTGTCCCGCCTTGGTATGAGTGGAGCTCCTGAGGGTGCCGTAGACGGCTAACTCTCCCAGGAGGTCTCCAAACACGTGTTCTTCGTGAATGTAGATGAAACCCAAACCAGGACTCATCGATGAACAGCACCAAAGACCATTCATTGTTCGTCACTCCATGGTAAATGCTCCCAAACCCACGAAAGCCGCCGACCACGATTGCCACGTCGCATTGCTGGAACACGTAGCGGTCTTCGAGCATGAAGACCAACTTCATGCAACCTCTTTCGCATGGTATGGTCGCTTACCAGCAGCTGGTGGTCCTCCTGGAGGTGAGTATGAGATGGTATCTCTGTGATATTGGG